TCCCTTTTATTGAACATTAGTATGTTTCTAATTTTCAGTGCAATAAAGGTTTCATAAACATTTTAATATAAATTTCATTGCTCACATCTGTTTTACAGATGAAATTTCTTCAAGTAGAACTATTAGGTCAAAGAAATTACCTATTTCTAATAATTCTTATTAAAGAAGTGAAAATTATATTTGGTAGACATTACATTGTATTTGATAATTAATGTATATTCTTCCCAATATAAATATCCCCCAGTTAAAAAAAAAATTATTGACCTCTGTATCTATTAGCTACTATTGCATAATATTCCTCAGTAGTTTTAAACAATAACTGTACAAAAACACACATGTATTGATCATCTCAGGCTTCCATAACTAAATACATAGACTGGGTGGCTTAAACAGCAGGAATTTGTTTCTCATTGTTCTGGAGGTTGGAAGTCTCAGACCAGGGCGTAACTGTGGTTGGGTTCGGGGGAGAGCCTCTTCTGGTTTGTAGACAGTCACCTTGTTGCTGTGTCCTCACGTGAGGGGAAACAGAAGGAGAAAACGCTCTCTGGTGTCTTTTTTTATAAGGGCACTAATCACATCATGAAAGCCCCCACCCTCAAAACCTTATCTAAACCTATTTATCTCCCAAAAGCCCCATCTCCAAATTCTATCACATTGGAACTTAGGGCTTCCACCTATAAATCTTTTTGTAGTGCAATATAGTTCACTCTATAGCTATACACACACACACATATATAATTTATATTTATATATATTTATATAGTTGAAAGTCTCTAAGATCATGAACCAAATACTGAATGGTTATTTCTGGGTCCTAGAAGGAGAGCAAATTCTATAACTTTTTTCTTTATGTCTCTGGTGTTTTTCCAAGTTTTATTTACTGAGCATGTACTATCTTTGTGTTAATAAAATATTAAATTTTTTTAAAGAAAAAGATGTTTTAAATTATGTGGTACAGATGGTCAATATATTTAATAATAAAAGTTGGAGTGGCACATAGCTCATCACTAATAGAAGAAAAAGCTTTAGATTATGCAGTCCTTTAAACAAATTAACCTAAAACTAATGAAATGCCCTCATCCATCATGATAGTAGCTATAACTCTCCTCTTACTGCCTTTCAAAATAATGATCAATGGCTGACTCTATTTTCCACTAGTGTTCTATTTATTAACTTACATTACAAAATTCCTTTTTTCTTTTGTGAATGCCGAGCTTACTTCTTCATGTTTTATACCTAGGGCTCCAAGGTGACGTCAGAGCGAGATCTTTTTATTAGTCTCAGATATTATTAAAAAGATGCTGTGGGAGGGTTGATGGAAGCACACAATATCACAGCTCCTCTTCTTCTTTTCCTACTGATGAAATCTGGCAGGAAAAAAAAGCAGCAACAACAAAAATTGAAGGACCCCTAAACAAGGTGAAAGTACATTAGAGGGACAGTTGGGATAGTGAAAGGGCAGAGAGGGACGGAGAAAGAATCAATTGCCTTGAAAATGATAGAGGAGATTCTGTCAACCAGGATACGCTGGGTGTTGCTGCAGCAACAAATGCCCTCCAAATCCTATAGCGCATGCCTCACTCACTCAGGCTGTCATAGACCCATCGCATCAGGGTGAGCTCTGCTCATCAGCATCACTCAGGAGCCCAAACTGCAGGAGCAGCTACCATTTCAAATGTCACTGGTTGCCACACTAAAGGGAAAAAGAGCGATTCTGAGGGTCCCATGCCAGCAATGAAATGCTTTGGTCTAGAAGTGATATACATCATTTCTGCTTGTAACCTACATTGCCTCAAACTATTTATATGATCCCACAACAAAGGGCAGAAGGCCCTCCTACCACAAGTCTTCAAGACCTGGAAATACTTTACAAACAGCACTACTATCAATAGCCCATGGTCTGGGCTGACTATATATGTAAGCCAAAGTCAGTTGACCACATGCCCAGCTCCCCCATTTGCAATGTCCTTGAGTCTCTGCCTGGTGCTAGCAGTGAGCTACCTTGCTTCCACAGGCCACAAGTATGTAGGGTATGCAAAGGAAAGCCCGCTGACCCAAAGAGAGGGGAATCTAGGTCCCAATCTCCACCAGCCAGCCATGTGGTCATGGGCTATGATTTCCTCATTGACAAAATTAGGAAATCCCTAAAATCTCTTTCTGATCTAATCTGCTTTGATCCTTAGTGATGTGCACTTGTGCACCAGTTTGCCAGATTGTGGGAGGACGAGAGGCTGCGCACTGCTTAAGATCTGAGGTTTGGTTTCTCCCTCCGTTAGCCAAGACAGGCTCTGTGTGCATGGAGCTCCTGCCCGGCTCTGCCTCAGGTCCAAGCCCGGATAGCAGCAGCTCCACCCACAAGGCTTGTACCTACAAAGGAATTTGCTGTCCATGAGATTCAGAATGAAAAGTCAGCCCATGTAGCATAATTTCATATTTTTGTCCAGAGCTAGTAGATTTTAAAAATCAACAAAGAGAAGAGAGGAAATCAAGTGGTGGTCGGGAGCAGGAAGGGGAAAGAGAGGCTGTGTCCACCTAGAGCCATGGTTCAGCTGTTGGATCGATTGCACTAGACTGTTAAACTGAACAGAGTTTGACAAAGTTTTTCTATTTTATTTTTCTGTGCTACATCAACCAGTGGATTTTTTTCTTTTAGTTTCACTAAGTCAAACAATTATTTTGCCAGTTTGGAAGGTAGTCTATGACTATTAACAAGTAACCCTAATCATGAAGGTATTGCTCTAGACTTAATTGGCTTTTGGTGGTTTGGATTGGAAATACCTTATTTTTCTCATTTACTTGTCATCTATTTTTGCAGCATCATTTGCATACAGCTAAGCATCATGTCAGGTCCAAGAATACAAAGATCAATGCAGTGTGATTCCTTCGAAGGACTTATCATTGTCTTGGCAGAGAAGTGACAGTGAAAATCATAGCAAACTACATGACTGCTTTTCCTACTCCTGTCCTGTGACCTTAGGACACTTAGGTGACATGGCCTTGCCAACCTCTGGGTGCCATTAGACTCATGAGATCCCCAGCCAGCCCTCTCCACCTCAGCACTTTGTAGAAGATGCCTCCTTTGACCACCCCCCAGAGCAACATGCCCATTCCTTTTGCTGTTTCTCTAGCTCCCCAACCCACCCCTCCTCAGCTGACAGTTTACTTTTCCAAGTTCAGCAGCTTCTACCCAAATCCCCCTGAGAACCAGCCTGCAGCATCCACCTGACTTTCCCCCTCCTCCTTTTATGGAGAACAGGCTTCCATTTAACCAGAAAGACATGTTTTTTAACTTAAATTTCCCTTGAAAATACAAAGGGGTTTAAATTAAGGGTAAATGTTGCATTTTCAAATCACAAAAGTTTTCACCAAAATTCACGGTGTTTGAAAAAAATAGGTCTAGCCACTTTGTGAAAGGCAGTGAAATTTGCGGATTGCACGGAAGGTCTTTTCATGTGTGAGCGTCATCGTTCTGAAAGCCCACTGGTTGGGCCTTTTATTTCTTCAGGCATGGGTGCGCCTCAGGGGTGGGCTGAGTACCTGTGAGTCTAGGTGGCAGTTTCTAATTAGGGCTGTGACCTTGACCATGCCCCTTACCTTCCTGGGTCTCAGGAAGTGAAGATGGAGCCAGCTTCACTCGTAACTGAGGCTACAGACTTCATGTCTCTAGGCTTACTGAGATTCTTAATCTTTTTCTTATCAGCAAGAGGCAAGAGGAAAGTGGGGCATGGGGAAGGTGAAATTATTTATATCCTCAATTTTATATGTTTTTCTGGGCAATGTTTTGAGTATTGTACATACCGTACATCTGCTAGAGGTGCCCAGCAATGTGAGACAAAACATTGGGGTTATTCTGCACAAACAGCGTCAAAGGCAGGCAAGCTGGCTCCCCAGCCTCCACGCTCTTCCAGAATGAGACATCTTCTCTCTGCTTCTCCCCTGTGGACGTTGGCTCACTGCATGTAAGTCACCTGGGAATCTGGTGAAAATAAAGTTTCTTTCTCAGTAGAGCTGGGGTGGTGCCTGATAGTTTGCAATGGAATGAAGAGCCACCTCCTCTGAGCCATAGAATCATTGCTGTGCTGAAGACTATAACTCTATGAGGTCTATGACTTTTTTTGTCCGTCGTATGTCCTAAGTGTTACCCAAAAAAGAATAAGAAGTCCTGAACACCCTTGCATACATGTGTGTGTGCGTGTGTGTGTGTGTGTGTGTGTGTGAGGAGGTTTCCAAATGTATGAAGATGCAGAGATCGAGAAATCATCTTGTGATATTCACAAGCATGAGGTCCACGTATTTTTTTCTCTGTTTTTAGTAAGCATGTGTGCATGCATATGTGGGTGAAGACTAAAGAATTAACAAAAGCTCTGACAAAATACTAATTTGTTTAGAATGTGAAGGTAATCTAGGATGAGGCCTGATTTCACATCTGTAGGCAATCACAATATTTTCTCTGCCACTGAGTTGTTTATCTGGGAGGTAGGGGTCATTAACACCCAGCTGGTTTGAAGTTCCACACCTGTGAAGGGCTGCTCCCATCATTCTTATCTGACTCTCATAAGAAGCTACATCCCCCAAGGCCTGGGCTCTCTGTGATTCCCGAGGAATCTCACTGGGAATACCTCCAGGATCTTGTGTTTGTTGGTCTCAGTTCCCTGGGCCAGTCCTCTTTCACTTCCCTAAAGAGATTCCAAGTTATCCTCCTGGCTTTTCTCAGACTCTATGATGATCCCAACCACACTTTAAAGATGAGCAGAGCCACACACTGCTGTGGCTTCAGGTTATTTTGCACAAACACTCAGCGTTAAAGGCAGGCAAGCTGGCTCCCCAGCCTCCACCCTCTTCCAGAATGAGACATCTCTCTGCTTCTCCCCTGTGGACGTTGGCTCACTGCGTGTAAGTCACCTGGGAATCTGGTGAAAATAAAGTTTCTTTCTCAGTAGATCTGGGGTGGTGCCTGATAGTTTGCATTTCTAACAGGCTTATGGATGAGAAAGGTGCAGTCCTGACTGGGTCGACACTTTGAGAGCAAGACTTTGAAGTGCACCTCAGGCTGCAGCTGTTCATACCTGGCAGGGTCACCTTCTTGGCCTCTGGGTCCAGCCCTGGCCGCAGGAAACCTCTCAGAAGATGGGAAGAAGCTAGCCCTGGGGTTTTAAAGGAATCACATGAGGTTAGGCTTTAGTGGGGGCAGGGATAGGTGTCTGCAGCTTTTTCCAATTACAGATAAGAAACTGGTTATTTTAAAGACAAATAAGAAATGTAATAGACTAACATTGCAGTTCCCTAGATATATTCTAAGAAATATTGGTCCTATGTGATGTTAATAGGAGTTATGTGCAAATGGGATCTCTATGCCCAAATGAGTTCTAGAATTTAAAGTCTAAACACAAGGTTAAACAAAGTTTAATAGGGTTTTTACTGCAGAACTTTTCAGAAGCTTTAATAAGTGAATGTACATTATAGCTCTCCAAGAAGGACATAAAGTATGCTACACTCCCCAAAAGTATTTTCCCAGGAAATCCCAATTTTTTTTTCAGCAAGGTTAATAGAAATAAAGCTCCATGGGGAAGGGTCAAGCTCTTTGGGAAAGCGTATCTTAGGTACCCACCAAGAGTCAACTTCAACAGCCTTTCTCAGCTCTTCTTTTGCCTGCCACAAAGATTACAGAACAGAAGGGTTGGTTTTCTCAGATTCATTTGTGATAACTTAGTCATTTTAAGGATGTTCACTAGTCCATTGATTATTTTTCTTTCCAAATGTTACACATTTCTTTCAAATGCTAAGCCTGGAATATAAAAATCATATTCTACCACCTGTTCATATGCACACTATACTCACCACTGAAAGGTATTCCTTTACCACTGTCTCCCCCCTTAATATACAGTTGACCCTTTACAGGGGTGAGGGTTGGGGCAATGACACCCACACCGGCACAGTTGAAAATCCTTGTATAACTTTTTTTTCAGAATCCTATCAGATACGTTTATTTATTTATTCATCTGTCATTTTTGTTTCAGGGGCACATGTGTAGGTTTGTTACAAAGGTACATTGGTGTCATGGATTTGGTGTACAAATTGTTTAATCACCCAGGTGTTAAAATAAGCATAGTACTCCACAGGTAGTTTTCTGATCCTCACCCTCCTCCCAGCCTCCACCCTCAAATAGGCTGAAGTGTCTGTTATTCCCTTCTTTGTGTCCATGTGTACTCAGTGCTTAGCTCCCACTTACAAGAAAGAATATGCAGTATTTGGTTTTCTGTTCCTTTGTTAGTTCACTTAGGATAGTGATCTCCAGCTCCATGCATGTTGCTGCAAATGATATGATCTTATTCTTTTTCATGGCTGCATAGTATTCCATGGTGTATATGTACCACATTTTTCTTATTCAGCCTGCTGTTGATGGGCACCTAGGTTGATCCAATGTCTTTGCTATTATGAACAGTCCTGCAATGATCATTTGCATGCATGTGTCTATATGGTAGAACAATTTCTATTCCTTTGGGTATTTACCTAATATTGGGATTGCTGGATCAAACAGTAGTTCTAAGTTTTTTGAGAAATTACCCAACTGCTTTCCACAGTGGCTGAACTAATTTATAATACAGTGTGTGAGCAGTGTATAATTGTTCCCTTTTCTCTGCAGCCTTGCTAGCATCTGTTATTTTTTGGCTTCTTAATAATAACCTCTGACTGTTATGAAGTGGTATCTCGTTGTGGTTTTGATTTGCATTTCTTTAGTGATGTTGAGCATTTTTTCATATGCTTATTGACTGCATGTATGTCTTCATTTGAAAACAGTCTGTTTATGTCCTTTTTTTTTTAAATTATACTTTAAGTTCTGGAGCACATGTGCAGATCTTGCAGGATTGTTACATAGATATACACATGCCATGTTGGTTCACTGCCTCCATCCCCCCATCACCTACATGAGGTATTTCTCCCAGTGTTACCCCTCCCTATTCTCCCGACCCCCCACTCTGCCTCCCCTAGCCTCCCGCAACAGACCCCAGTGTGTGATGTTCCCCTCCCTGTGTCCATGTGTTCTCATTGTTCACTTCTATGAGTGAGAACATGCAGTGTTTGGTTTTCTGTTCTTATGTCAGTTTGCTGAGAATGATGGTTTCCAGATTCATCCATGTCCCTGCAAAGGACATGAACTCATCCTTTCTCATGGCTGCATAGTATTCCATGGTGTATATGTGCCACATTTTCTTTATCCAGTCTATCATTGATGGGCATTTGGGTTGGTTCCAGGTCTTTGCTATTGTAAACAATGTTGAATGAACATATGTGTGCATGTGTCTTTGTAATAGAACGATTTATAATCCTTTGGGTGTATACCCAGTAATGGGATTGCTGGGTCAAATGATATTTCTATTTCTAGATCCTTGAGAAATCACCACACTGTCTTCCACAATGGTTGAACTAATTTACACTCTCACCAATAGTGTAAAAGTGTTCCTATTTCTCCACACCCTCTCCAGCATCTGTTGACTCCAGATTTTTTAATGATCGCCATTCTAACTGGTGTGAGATGGCATCTCAGTGTGGTTTTGATTTGTATTTCTGTAATGACCAGTGATGATGAGCATTTTTTCATGTTTGTTGGTCGCATAAATGTCTTTTGAAAAGTGTCTGTTCATATCCTTTGCCCATTTTTTGTTGGGGTTGTTTGTTTTTTTTTTCTTATAAATTTGTTTTCGTTCTTTGTAGATTCTGAATATTAACCCTTTGTCAGATGGGTAGCTTGCAAAAATTTTTTCCCATTCTGTTGGTTGCCAGTTCACTTTAGTGATTGTTTCTTTTGCTGTGCAGAAGCTCTTAAATTTAATTAGATCCCATTTGTCTATTTTGGCTTTTGTTGCTTTTGGTGTTTTAGTCATGAGGTTCTTGCCTATGCCTGTGTCCTGAATGGTATCTTTTTAATGGGGTTATATGTGTCCTATAATTTTGGACTCCCTGAAACTTAACTACTAATAGTCTGTTTTTGAGCAGAAGCCTTCCAGATAGCATAAACAGTTCAATTAACATATATTTAGTATGTGATATGTATTATATACCATATTCTTACAATAGAGTAAGCTAGAAAAAAAGGAAATGTTATTAAGAAAATCATAAGGAAGAGAAAATATATTTACTATTCATTGAGTGGAAGTGGATCATCATAAAGGTCTTTATACTTATTGTCTTCATGTTGAATAGGCTGAGGAGGAGGAGACAGAGGAGGGGTTGGTCTTGCTGTCTCAGGGGTGGTAGAGCTGGAAGAGTTGGAAAGGGAGGCAAGATTGGCAGCACACTTAATGTAACTTTTACTGAAAAAAGTCTGCAATTAAGCAGATCTTACCAGCTCAAACCCATGTTGTTCAAGGGTCAACTGTGTAAGTAGAAGGGCTGAGGTGGAAGCAGAGGAAAGGTAGGAAAAAGAGTATTTAAAATGATGATAGTACAATATTTCCCTGCTTGCATATCACTTGCAATTAGAAAAGCCCAGCAGATTGATTTGGTTAAATATTTTGAGCAAGCTTAAGAATTTTTCTTTGAGATTCAAGAGTTTTTCTGGACAGATAGTAGAAAAAATGTAAGATAAGTGAACTCAGAGAGCAATGCTTCCTCTAGATTCTGCTGAGGAGTTTCCATCCTGGTGAATATCTCAAGTTCATAAAAAAACTTGAACATAAATGTAAAAATACTTCCTAGGGAATTTCCTCTTTTTAAATTCAGAGTGTGGCATGCAACTGGAATTTCTGTGGTTGTGCTTCAGGCAGGCAGAAGAGGCATTTTACAACTTCGAATCTGTAGGCAGGGTGGAAGCTTCCAGTTCACTCAATGGCTGCATCCCAAAATACCGCTGGTAATCTTAGAATAAGATAAAAAAAGATGGAGCAAATGAAGGTGTGTGTTTGTTTGTGTGTGGGTATGAGGTAGGAGAATAGGGTCTGGAGGTGGGGAATCTAAGGTTGATTCCCTGACTTCTAGAACTGAATCAAAAGGAAAAGAAAGCCCCACCTCTCCACCCCCAAGTAACAAAAGGATCAGACACTGTGGCACTGCATAGCAGATAAACAATGAAAAGTACCTCTGATTGGTCCCCTCCTGCAACCAATCAGATGAGTGGTGGCCCAAGTCTTCATGTCTAACTTTGTAACTTCAGTTCCGCCTCTGATGATCACCTCCTGCAACCAGACTGGTAGTGGGCCACATCTTCATTTACGTAGAGTGTAACCAAATAACCAATGGGAAACCTGTAGTGGGTATTTAAACCCCAGAAAATTTTGTCACCAGTGCTCTTGAGTGGAGTATACTTTTGTTTCAGTAAATCAGCTTTCGTTGCTTCATTCTTTCGTTGCTTTGCTTGTGCATTTTGTCCAATTCGTTGTTCAAAATACCAAAACTTGGACAACTTGTAGTCAAGACCCTCCACTGGCAACATGTGTATGTGTTTTTGAGGTGGTAGGTAGCTGAGATTGAAGATGAGTGGATTTCTGAATTGAATAACAATAAATATCCTACTTAAAAATGTTAAAAGTTGGAAATCATCTCTTATTGTGATAACACATTACTTCTCCCTGGGAATCTGTTGGACAGATGGGAGCTGGCAGGGTAGGGCCTGTATTGTTGAAGTTGCCATGGCGACTGCAGGAAGTGAGCTTTCTTCTAAAAACCTCACTGGCCCAAGAACAAGCCCAGGCTAGTCTACAATTCAGTGACTTACAAGTATTTTCTTATTCTAAAATGTTGCAGTGATAATTGCTAAGAAGTATAAACAAGGGAAAAGGAGGCTGTCTGTATTTGTCTTTTCTTCCTAATTAATCCCTTTCCTTACATTTTTCCTAATTATCTACACACCTGAAGGCAAGTCCCTCCCAATTACAAAGCCAATGCCTATTTTCTGAAACAGAAAATTTAAAAAACATTTTTTGCCAACTTGAACATATATTTAAGCCTCTAAGTGAAATAGTTAAAAAGCTACCTATCATATTCCATTTATTAGTCTACACATATATATATTAATTGCATAAAACTGAAAAGAAAATTATATACACTCATACTTTGGAATATTGCATTATTCTACTGTGATATTTCATGAAACAATCTGTTCACATGTGTCATGTGTGTCTTAGCTGTCAGCAACTTTGCTGTCACTGGAAACCCTTTCTAATTTTTTTTTAAACAGTTTTCCAAAACACACTGTCTTCTCTGCCACCCACGTTTCTATCACACAGCAATTTTTAAATACAGATGTAATGCTATTACAGAAAATTTTATCCCAGACCACAAGTATCCATACCTACAAGCTAGGACAGGTTTTTTTTTGTTTGTTTTTTTTCAAATAATTCATCATCCATGTTTTAGTGATCTCCATCATGTTTCACTTACTGTATTGCTTTTATTTTTTTTATTTTCAGTTTTTTAGATGTAAAAATTTTTTTAAATTCCATATATTTTATTTTTTCTTAATTGTACTTTAAGTTCTGGAGTACATATGCAGAACATGTAGGTTTGTTACATAGGTATACACATGTCATGGTGGGTGGCTGACTGCATCCATTACCTTGTCATTTGATGGTATTTCTCCTAATGCTATCCCTCCACTAGCCCCTCACACCCTGACAGTCCCTGTGTGTGATATTCCCCTTCCTATGTCCATGTGTTCTCATTGTTCAACTCCCACCTACGAGTGAGAACATCCTTTTTTTAAAAAAGCAATATACACTGTGTTGTACACTGTTTTGCAGGCATGTACACACTTACTGTGTTACTTTTTTAAAAAAAGCTTATGTTTGGGCTGGGTGTGGTGGCTCACACCTGTAATCCCAGCACTTTGGGAGGCCGAGGCAGGCGAATCACGAGGTCAGGAGTTCAAGACCAGCCTGGCCAACATGCTGAAACCCCATCTCTACTAAAAATGCAAAAAGCTAGCTGGGCATGGTGGCAGGTGCCTATAACCCCAGCTACTCAGGAGGCTGAGGCAGGAGCATTGCTTGAACTCAGGAGGTGGAGGTTGCAGTGAACAGAGATCATACCACTGCACTCCATCCTGAGTAACATTGCAAGACTTCGTCTCAAACAAAAAAAAAAAAGAAAGGCTAAGAAAAGTTTATGTTCAATGGCATACAAGACTTGAAAGAATGAGTTAAACTCCCAAAGGAAAGATGATCACACCATGTTAAATTTCTTTGATTCCTTTTATTCTTAATTCAAAATAAATTCTGTTAGATGACCTAACAAAATAGCAGTAGTAACAACAACTAACACTTCCTGAGCCTTTATCATTTGCCAAACACTATTGAAACACACTAAGCATAGTAACTTATATAAGGGCCCCTTTCTCAAGAGTGCTTCCAGAGTGTGGCAGAGGAGGCTCCCTGAGCAGATACAGCTGTGGACCAGACAAAACATCACTCACTGTGGTGTCCTGAGGGCATTGGATGGTTTCTACTTGTGTGTGCCTTTCTGCTGCTTAATCTGCTGGTCATCACACACACACACAAGCATGTATTGCTTTTTTTAAAAAGGCAGTCAACTCTGTGTGTGTGTGTGTGTGTTGACTACCTTTTCTTTCTCTCAAAGGGAAATAGAAGATCTCAACAGCATGCCATCGTTTTAGATAAGTGGTTCTCAGCACTGGTCTGCATATTAGAACCATCTGAGAAGCGTTTTAAAAACATTGATGATACTCAAGCCTCAACCCAGAGAAAATACATCAGAATTTATTTATGGTGGAGCCAGAGCATCAATAGATTTCAAAGCTCCTCAGGTGACTCTAATTTTTAACCACCCTGAGAAACAATGTTTTAGATTATTACACACGAACCAAATGTCCTCATATTTCTCCCTAGATGAACTGAATGTCCTGTATCTACTAGGAAGTTGGGAAATACTAACCATACTCTTTCAATATTCAGCAGCTTTTCAAAAGTTCTGCATGGAGGAATGCCTGGTGGAATCATGGGTTTTACCTGTATGCTTAGAATGCATCGAAGTTCTTCTGGACTCATAGCACCACCTGGAGACTGGTGCAGGGGATGTATCTCCCCACCAGCCTCTCCCCGCTCCTTAAGAGGCACACCGAACTCTTCAACTCTGTCCCCCACCTGCCCACACTCGCACACACATTTCCTGTCTCACATCTCTCAATCTTTAGTTGATCATACTAGAGACATTCTCTTTCTGATGTAACAATTCTCCTTCTATCGTTTTTTCTTCTACTGAAGCCCACATAACACAATAATAATAGTAACTTCCATTCTGACCATGTTAAAATTGTACCAGATCTACTCTTTGTATACTACGGAATTAAATTGGAAATCAATAACAATAAGATAGAAAACCCCCAAATATTTGGAAATTAAATAAATTTCTAAATATTATAATTATGGCTCAGAAAAGAAATTACAAGAAAAATTAGAAAATATATGAAACAATGAAAATATTATAAACTATGCATCTGACAAAGGTCTAATGTCCAGTATCTATAAGGAACTTAAACACATTTACAAAAAAAACAAACCTCATTAAAAAGTTGGCAAAGAACATAGACACTTTTCAAAAGAAGACATACATGCTGTCAACAAGCATATGAAAAAAGCCCAATATCACCAATCGTTAGAGAAATGAAAATCAAAACTACAATGAGATACCATCTCACATTAGTTGGAATGATCATTACTAAAAAGTCAAAAGATAACAGATGCTGGCAAGATTGCAGAGAAAAGGAAATGCTTATACACAATTTCTGGGAGTGTAAATTAGTTCAACCATTGTGGAAAGCAGTGTGGCTTTTCCTCATATAGCTAAAAACAGGACTGCTATTCAATCCAGCAATCTCATCACTGTATACCCAAAGGAATATAAATCATTCTATCATGAAGATACATGCACATGTATATTGATTACAATACTATTAACAATAGCAAAGATATGCAATCAATCTAAATACCCCTCAGTGGTAGACTGGATAAAGAAAATGTGGTACATATGCATCATAATATTGAATACCATGCAACCATAGTAAAAGAAAGAAGTCATGTCGTTTTCAGGAACATGGAGGTCATCATCCTTAGCAAATGAATGCAGAAACAGAAAACCAAATACCACATGTTCTCACTTGTAAGTGGCAGCTAAATAACGACAACACATGGACACAAAGGGGCACAACAGACACTGGGGCCTAATTGAGGGTGGAGGGTG